GCAAAACATAAACGCTAAACAAGATTGAAGAAAAACACCTAAAAGCTGGTGTATCTAGTGCACAAGTGCTTATGGTGCTACTGAATGCCCGTTGCGCATTTTAAAATGTTCAACTTTTTTTGAAAAAATAGTGCATTCAGACGACATCGCCGTATGTTGTCGCAAAATTTCAAATCAAAATCCAAAACATTGCTCGAGGTACAAAAATAGCAAATTCGACATTGAACAGTACATAAAATAAGTTGGGCTTTAGATTTGACCCAATATCACATTGATGTCAGAATTTTCATTTTTGTATCTCTTGCAATGTTTCAAATGTTGATATGAAATATTGTGACAACTTACATTAGTGTTTGTGTCAATGTGACTTTTTCAGTTTTTTCTTTGAAACATTTTGCAGTGCACCAGTAGCACCACAAGCACCGGTGCACCAGATACATTCCCCCTAAAAAGGAGCGGAACCCTTCACCCTAATTGCCGGGAAGCCAGAAAATAATGTTTCATGTGTTTCATATTTTTCCCTTTCGCATTCAGTGATGGGGCAACATTTTAGCTTATATCATGCGTTAAAATAACAGTTTAGCATGTATCATTAATTAAAAAAACATTTTAGCATATATCATGGGTTAAACGAAAATGGGTATACAATGCAAAGAATGGCCTTGGGAAGTTTTCCAAATTGATCTGCAAGTTGATATTAGGCTTTCAATTTGACCAATTAACCATGGCTTGGAGATATGAATACACAACAACAGTGAAGAAATATTTCATGTAGACATCAACATTATTTTTTCTATTGTTAGTACACTACAACAGGAACCCCCCTTCACCAACGCATTGATGCGTTGTCTTATGTCCCTATGACCGTTGCTAAGGTCAACACCAACGGATTATTATGCCTTGCCGTTGGTGGCGTTGCAAGGGTCTACAACAACATATATAATTGCGTTGGTAAACGACGTAAAAATGCGTTGGAAGGTAGCAACATATATAGTTGTAGACCAACAACACTTCTTATGCGTTGGTAGATAACCTACACAAGATAATTTTATTTTCTATACATAGCATGAATTTTTTATATTGCGAACAATAATTATTAGTTCGATACCGATTGTGCACAGGAGTAGTAATCCATTGAACAGAAATATCTCATATATTAAATTGACTCGGTTGCATTACATGGAACACATTCCAAATAGTACATACATGATTTTCTATACATCGACCATGAAAATGACATTCTACAATGTCTGGTGTCAGCGCCATTCTCCACCTTGCAATCAACTACTTAGCCATGCGTCATCCCTTTATCTTGGAAATCTTCCGCAATAAACAACTGACATGAATGCGTAAAGTATCATTATTAAATCAGGTCAATAAAGGAATAAAAACAGAGCAACATATAAAGGTTGAAGGCCATGTGTAAGTTTTAGTCACTACCATCTTCGTCTTCCCACAGTTCATCATCCTGGTCGATAACCTTTCCTATGAACTTCATGTGATCACCTTCTATGACATTGTTACGAGATGAATCATCACCACACTGCCAATCGCTCAATATTCGGTCTGAGTAGCAAAGCGCCAATGCAACAACTGAAATAAACTTAGCGTATACAGATGGAAGCCCACACGTACACTTAAATATTATGGAGTTCATCCTTTGTTGAAGGAAGGCTATCATTAGTTCAGTTTAATCTGAATGATCACGAAAAATCCTTGTCGTTTCTTATTCCCATAAGAGACTCGATTTAATTGTAACAATGAATAGATCTGAACTAGGCATTCCACTGTTAGGAACTCGTCTAAAACTTTGTTCCCTTGCTCTTTTTTTTCTTCATATTTCGCAAGCCAAACATACATCAGGACCATATATCTAGCATTGTAGACATGCATGTCGTAATGAACATGTTTTTATCTTGGCACAAAAATAAAACTCCCATCCTAAGGTCAAAGTTTATGGTCACGTTAAGGCATCTAGATCGTAATATCCAAAAAAATTGTATACTGCCACTGGGTAATTGCAACTTTAAGATAGACACACACACACACACACACACACACACACACACACACAGCTCTTTTTTTTGTCCAACCATCTAAATAAAGAAGAGTAACTTGTACTAACCTCACAAAATGAAAACTTGAACTAACATAATAATAACTGATTGTGTAACTTACATTTAGGTGTAAGTTTCTTTCAACAAACTTCTGCAGACCGACACAAGTCCCTTTGATAGCACTATCGTTGTACACCAGTATTGTAGGAACATTCCTATCTGGGAAGTTCGAATACAGTCTCTGTAAATTATTTTCACAAATTTGGTTTCTGAGTATTTTGTCGCCAGTTCCTCCAGGCAAGTCTGAAAGCAACCAACAGTCTGGTATCCTGTGATAAGATCCATGGAAGTCTCAGTCAATGAGGAACTCATGATACAATTTCTTTCTAAGTTGCTTTCTGTATAATAAGCAAGTTTCGTAAACAGTTGAACCGGAAACGCAAAATGGAGCTGAAGGCCCAGGTAGCTCTTTATCTGAGACATCCATGTGCAAAACATTGGTGAAACCACCGTATTTGAGCATTGTATATAACATGTATTTGATATTCTTGCTATTTCCAAAATTTCAGCTATGAAATAACCATCACAAAGAACCGACCATTCACAAGGAGAGTACTAACATAATTTATGCACCCATCAATGCATCCCTGCTGCTGCATATTCAAACTAGATAGTTTTCGCCAGTACTAACTACTCCTTGGTGCTAAGATATATGATGCACATCACCTCAGTGCTAGGTTTAGCATTAGTCCTTAGGTATGAGTAGAAAATCATTCTCTAGGTTCGCCTCAGATTTAACAATGATTTTGAACATGATGAACAAAACTCAATTTCCTCTCATGAAGCCACTAAGCATCATAAATCACACACAAAAATAATGAATAACCAAATATACTAAACTAAAAGATCCATTATAAAACTACTTTCTTTGATTGAGAACAACTCATTATATCCCAAAGAATTCATCATTCCATCAAAGATTAAAATCGCGGGGAAGGTCTAAGCTATCGCAGATCTGAAACCACCACGCGATTTGCTGCCTTCCCAGAATTGCGGGAGATCGCGCCGCTATCGCAGGCGATTGCGCCGTTTCTTCCTTATCTGTCACGGCAAAAATCTGGGCCGCGATTCCCTCTCGCCCGCGATTTTAAACTATGCATTCCATACATAAAAAATCAATGGATCAATTACACATTGTTTTCTTGCGGCAAGAAGTACCTTGTGTTGGTTTTCTGTGTACATTAGTTGCATTAATAACTTCCACGATTGTATGGCTGCATCGGCATGAGTAGGCATTAGCATACAAAATATTAATAAGCTATAATTCAACTGAAGTAAACTTGCAGAATCATTCCATTTGATAACAGTTTTTTTGCAGCAAATCCGATGCCAAAACAAATTGGACCAAACAACTCACTCTAATGCTAAGCATCAATAGAATAGAATAAATTACAAGTTCAAGCTCTAGTGTGTACGCCTATCAGAGGGGTTTAAGTGGGCAGATGCAGCTTTGATTTAGGATTGGAGGGAGTCGGTAGTTAGGGATTATGGCAGTTGTCCCATACCTTGGCTGGATGAACAGAGGGACTCAGGATGTGCCGAGTAGGTCCTTTCTCTGGTAGTCCATCCATGTGTCCGATGTCGCACATGGTGACAGTATTACAAGGAGAAGGATAGAGGTACACAAGTAAGTGCTCAGTGTTGCAGCCTCAAAGACAGGACTGAAAAGGGGAGGGAACAAACCATCATCGTTAGGCATTCTCTAACTTACAAAGGATGCCGGTGCAAGCCAGCGCCGGCGGCGTTGGGTCTGGCCGAGTGATCAAGGTAGCGCAGACCATCGTCACGATGACTGGCAAAGAATCCGCCATGGCCTGCCACACAAAGAACAAGATAGGGTAAGTGAAGACGGGGTCAGGGGAGAAGTGGCTTACTGAACCGGCAGCGACGGCGGGGCCGAGGTAGCTAAGGTGGAGTAGCACCGCCAAGGCCGAGCTGGCAGCCATGCGTGCGGAGATGTAGTGGGGTAGTAGGGCGACAAAGCAGAGGAGCCGCGCTGGCGACCTGTGGCTGCGGGCCGCGTGTAGGGGCGCGGAGGATGTCGCCATGGAGGAGGGGTCAGAGGAGACCAGCGAGGGGTAGTCGGTCCGGTGAGCGGCGGCGCGGCAGGGCGCCGGAGCTAGCCAGATTCAGAGGCGGAGGCGTTGTGGGCACAGAGAAAAAAGGTTTGGCTTCGCTGCGTGGTACTTGACGGAGGAGTTAGAGATAATGTGAAGTTTTTTTCCCTGTAGATAATGTGAAGGTGAGTATGGGAGGTTAGCCTAATGCGAGGTGTGGGGAGGTGGGAGGTTGCCCAAACAACACATAGATTGATTCGTTGGTAGATATGTGTTGTTGTACAGGGGTATTCGTTGTAGTGTGTATCCCTAGCTAAATCCAGGAGTACAAAACAAATTAATAACCTAAGAAACAACCAACGCTCCATGGACATGTGGAGAAAACAATCTGGTACAACAAAATATATTACTACATACAAACAGTGAGGTGGATATTCCATAAATAAGAAAGGGTGAAAACTTGTCAACTAAAATAAACTTCATAGTGGCCTTGGTCATTTTTTACAATTGAGCCGAGAAATCTCGGAGATGATGACTATAACTTCTTGGTAAAGCTTCTTGGTCTACGGACATCTCCATGGGAATTGTTAGCACAAGTAGAGATACGGTTTACTGTTCCTGGTCACTTTGACAGCAAGATCTAGCAAGGGAGTCCGTTGTTTGAATCCTCATCGTCTGGTCCAGGATCATGAGATCCGAACTACAAAGTACAAACATAATCTCTTTTCTCAATAATAGCACGATAACTCATCACCAATTACTGACTTGGCAAACTATCAATCCATCAAAAACTGCAGCCTGAAACATGTCTTTTCTCACCATTTGCTTACCTAGGTAGCTTTTGCAAGGCATCCAAGCTTCTGCCTATTCTTTCTTCTATCCAGCCAAGTCTCCTCTCACGTTTTAACACACTGGCATGCATAACCCTAATATCAACTTCCGCAAGCTTGGCAAATGAGCGTAGCAACAGGTAATAATCAGCATGTCCAGCACAAACAAGACGACCAGTCATTGCCTTCCTTCTATAGTGAAGGTAACCATCTGATCTTGGCCACTTCCTTGGCGGCATATAACAAAATCCGTGGACTTCCATTTCTGACTTGATACTCTGTATCCCTGATGATGATGATGGAGAAAAGCACCTTGCACCAACAGAAGTCCCATCCCGACCTCGTTTATTCACTCCATTTGTGGTGTGAGCTTTTATATTCTCACCCTACAGTGTCAACAGGTTTAGACATCAAATCAACAACAATCGCCACCAAAAGACATGTAGATAATCCTCGAGGTGCTACATTTGTACAAATTAAGTTCAAATATGCTGCGGATAAAAAAGGAATAAGAGTTGACAACAACATTAAGTTGGGTGCATTACCTCTCGTCCTTTGTACAAATCCTGGAAGATCTCTATTAAGTGCTCTTCTTCAACTGAACATGCAATCCCAGGAAAAACAACATCTTTGCAATATCTGAGATATGAGTGAAGGTCCTTCGAATAGTCTGCAGAATTAGAAAACTTCGTCAATTTTATACCACTATTAAGCATTTGGTCTAGTAAAAAGTACACCCTAGAATGCATTCACTCAGACACAAATCTGAGCAAATATATCAGCATGAACATCTATATTAAATAGATGAGAATGAATGCACATTTTTCTTATCCAATATACTTTGACATTAATTATTGTACTTCTAAGCCCTTGACATATTATATGATAATAACAAACCAGACCAACCAGGTCTAGCCCTTGGGGGCTACATTAATAGAAGGGGCATCCTTGAGCACAAGGCGAGAGAGCCAAAACTCGCAGCGGGCTGGCCACGCACGCACGTGCCATGCCAACAGAGTGATGCTCTGTTCTCACTAAAGGGGAGTTACTGAGCACCATCTGTACAAAAGAAAGAGAGAGGTGCAGCTCTGTCTTGGTTATTTTTTGAAACATGGGATCCCTTCTAGAATACTCTTTGTCAGACCTCTATGTTTGTGTAAGAAAGAACTAGCAAACATGCCCGTGCGTTGCAATGGGAGAAAAAAAGATACATTCTTCTATAGTTGTATAATAAGCACAACTTAAGACCCCTCAACTGGTCCTCCTTATCTATATCAACATAGTCCACCTCCGTGTTGTCACTTATACCCTTTCATGCCTTCACTAACCATGCATGGCCGCAGTGTCTAATTGGTCACAATGCGTCTGAACGTGGCCAATCCCAAGGCGATGATGTCGGCCACTACCTAAACCCACGCACACCTGCCATTGAACAACATCATCGTAAGTGAATGTCTAATAGTTATATACTAATCTCGTCGAGCTGGAGGTGATGGGCGCCCTTCCCGAGCTACAATATGCACCTAGTGCATGCATACACCATCTCTCATAGGCCCATTCACTTTTAAACTCTATATTTGTTTTCCAAAATGCATCAACAATCTTTTTGAAATAATAAATAATTTTTAAATCAAATGGAATTTTTAAAGTGCATGAATGTTTTTTAATTACAAAATATTTTTAAGCATGTGAACACTTCTTAGAATTACATGAACTTTTTTTGAGAAAAAGGTGAACCATTTCAACTGGTATAAACATTGTTTTGATACATGAACAATATTCTTAAAACTACATAAACATTCTAAAATTCATGAACGACTTTTAAAAACTAGTGGCATTTTTCAAAAGGCAGAATCACATAAAATTAGAACATTGGTAAATTAAATTTTGGGTATGTAGCAAGTGATCAGATTACACGTACATTGCACCTAATTTTTCTTTTTTATATATATAGTGAACGGGAGGAGAGCTGTTCTAGTTGTGCCCAGAGACTGCAATTTTCTCGTTGGTGACTACGTGGACCAGTGCTCACATAAAGGCCAAAAAAAGGATTACGTGGAGCACTGCACGAAGATTATTTTGCTCGGCTCTAGAAGCGAACCAACATCCAAACCTTTGACCGATCAAAATAAAATGTAATATCCTCATCGTGTAGCGAAGCATACAGCGCCGCGAGAATAGCGCGGCCACCAGCGCTCTGGCCGCGCACGAGATCCCATGCCGCTGAAGTCGCCCTACTGTCCCGCGCGTGCTCAGGGCTCCGGGTCCGTCCTGCGCATCCCTGCTGAGCTGAGCTCCCCGCCGCGCAATAGATCCCGCGCCACCGAGGAAGGTCGCCCAGATCTCCTCGCTCCTCGCCGCGCTGTCGCCCATGGTCTCATCCGCATCTGCTTCCTTCATCGATATGCAGAGCCGAGGAGGATTTCCACTACTTTGATTGCATAAATAAAAAATTAGAACGATACACAATGAATATGCTGTTTCCAATGCATTCTTATAAGTTTGACGCTGCAATCAGGCATCAATAGCCATTAGTGTGGTGGTTAGTAGCATGCACATTGTAGTAGGAGCACCTGCGTTCAAACCTCCATGATAGCGCTGAGCTTTTTTAAGTTTTATTTTTGTGTTAGGCGCTTGCTAGTGGGCTGGGCCTTGCGTTCCGCGCTTGCTGCTGGGCCGGTCCAATCACTGTGCGTTCGCCACGCTGTTTTGGACGCAAAAAAGTTTAGTACCACATCAGAATCACCTAAAATCATCTAAGCGGGACGAAACCAAGAATATCACCTCCCTTTAATAGTAGGTATAGATGAGAATATGTCTTTTGGATAATCCAGAGGTACTAGCAGAAAACAGTATATTACACTGGAAGATACTGCTGCATTATTTGTTGATTTCTGTAAGGGCATGTACAGAGGTAGCAGCACCAAGCGGTGGTCTCATCCCATCCACATAGATTTGTACTATAAGACCACCATTTGAACATTTACCACCCAATGGAAGCAGTGGTTTGAGGTATGACAGGAGCAAGGTCCTCTACTTCACTTTATCAAACCGCCACCGCAAGATGAGTGGAGCCAAGGCGCGGTCCTGTGACTTTTGGCAGTGAGGAAGCGGCCTCCTCTGCAGGATCCCGCTTGTGTCTACAAGCTATACCTTTTGGCAAACTGGACCATCTGATCCTACGTGGAGTGCTGGAGCAGCTGTCCAACCTGGAGAGTTGGACATGCCCTAATGCTGCCTGGTGCAAATGCCCCATAAATGTTCAATTAGTCACTAACAAGCATAATGAAGCTCTCTATTTATAAGTGGGGAGGTTGAGATCCCGGAAATGTGAATAGTTATTTATTGCAAACAAGGGCAGAAACTCCACACATACATCTTCTATCCATTACAACAATATAAATTTTATTCTAGCAATTCTTGCCAGTTTATTACTAAGTAAATGTCCTAAAATTTGAAAATAAAGCTATAACAATGGTCCATGCTCCATACATATGCTACCCCAGTAACTGAAAATTACCATCGCAAGATAGATTAGTGGCTGTACACATAGGACAGGAGGGTATAACCTATTAAGTAGTAACATACAAAATAAGACATGCCTACCATTACGTCCTATTCTTGATATAGCTACTGTGCTAGAAGCTAGAATAGCATGTAACTGGTAACATAAGAGGTAAATATATAAATCGCTAATGGACAACATAAGGATCAAACCTGACATGAATATTTTACAAGAAAATAATTTGATGTAGAAGCAAAGCAATGGTCGAACAATTACCATGTGCAACGTCAATTTTATCATAGGCATCTACAAGAGTCCACAGCAATTCCCTTGTGCCAAACTCCTCACTGGTGCCGCCATCAGGCTTCATAGATTGCGGTAATTTTGCATCACAGTCAGACCCGCCTGCATTTCTTGCTGCCTCACAAATCTCCTGAAGAAAAAAAAAAGTTGGGTCCATCATATTTAGGGAAGATCTTACATGACTTACGAGAGTGGCTCCATATGGAATACTCACCTCCCATACCCCTTGACCATTGATGTTATACTAAACTCTTAGAGCCACTATTAGTATAGCCATTACACAGATCCGTGTAGGGACCCTAGCTGGATTACTAGACAACCATAGTTCTGGAGGCATTGCCCACTCATAGACGCGGCAAGCATGCATGAGGGAGAATTTTTTGTACCGGCAGAGACAACTCATCCAAGTAGCGCTGAGCAATAGCATAGAAATTGACTGAAGGAAGCTGCAAGCCTATTCTTTGTGCTATGAACCCGGCGGCCGCTTCCAGCTGCCACGCTCCAATCACTCGGACTGGCCTGAACAGTTGCCTCGCATTCAGAGGGCAGTGTTTTGGACGGCTCCCAAGAAGCTTGTCCACTTCCGTAAATGCCGCCACATAAGGAAGCTTACCCTCCATCGCCCACCTATAAATGTCGGTCGGTAGGATGGCTTCCCGGGCAATATGACAGGACAGGAAACAGACAGACAATGTCGAGTGCAGCGGCAGCATCGTCCTCAATGAGCGCAGAAAGATGAACTCAACCCTTCGCCTGTCTTTCCGAGGCGAGGCTTCGTCCGCCCGTTCACACTTCTTCACCTCTTCAGGTTCCTGCTGGCCTGGACACAAAGACACTACATATGTTGATCAAGTTTGTTCTGGTCTTTGAATGGTGATAACTGAACAGGATCTTAGAATTGACACCTCCACAGGCAGAGCGCTTAATCAGTCTCTGCGCGGCCTCGGCCTCGGCGAGCACCTTCCGCGCCCACATTCCGTCGAACACCTTGGAGGAGGCCACCCAGCGCAGCCAGACGGTTCCGGCCACGCCGCAGACGAGTGCGCCCACCCGGTACCTCTCCACCACCAGCACTTGCAGCTGCTGGTGCAGGATCACCTGCAGCCCCTGCACGTAGCGCCGCCGGAGCTGAGCCCCCAGCTCCTCCGGGTCGGCGCCAGGCACAAAGTCGGCTCGTGGGATTCTTCGAAGGGAGGGGCAGCAGGGGGTTGCCCGGGGTAAGGAATTGGGTAGGGCGCCGGGGTTTTGGTGGGCTGGGAAACTCGGTGAAAGGACATGTCGTCTGGGTGTCGAGGTCGCCGTAGCACCGCCCGCAGTAGAAGCGGCCGTCCTCGGTGTCGTCGAGGCTGTAGTCGTCCTTGAAGCCGCATCGGCATTCCAGGCGGATGCTTCCTCCGCAGCCGCCGTGGTGGGATGGGGAGGCGCCGCCGTCGTCATCCATGGGAGCGGCCGCTCGCGACCTAGCTCGCCGCCGCGCAGCGGATCACCTAGCTGCAGAACTGCTGGGTTTTTTTGTTCGGCCTGTTAATGTTAGATGGGCTGCAGTTGGGTTAGTAGGGTTGACATGGGCTTATGTTGTGGAGTGTTTTTTTTTTAAAGAAATCGTGAATATTTTTTAAATTTGCAAAACTTTCTTGAATTCGCAACAATTTTAAAACATACGAGCATTTTCTAATTCATGACAAATATATTTAATTCACGACTTGAAACTTTTCAAATTCATGAACATGTTTTTATTTCGCCATTTTTAAAAAATTAGCAGCAAAAGCCGGCTGGTTTCCTCCTTGAGACAAAATACCAAAAGGCAATAGGAGAAGAAAAAAAATCGAGCAGGCACAAGCGGGCGAACAGGCAACCCGTGCGCCGCACCCGTGTGCATTAGGGATGAAAACGGAGTAAAAACAGACGAAACTAAGTGCTACCATATTTGTTAGCGGAAATGAATACAAAAGCCCGAAAATGAATACGGAAACAGATACTATCGGAAACAGACACGGAGCGAACACGAAAACAGAAGTGGGCGTTGACCGAATCTTAAAAACCCCTTGAATTTGAGAAATACACAAAAATAATAATTTAATGAATTGGTAACATGGCTATAAAATAATATGATTATGTTAGCAACTTAGGGTAGTATTGCATTAGTACTGGACAATTGCGCATAGGCTCTAGCTGAGTCGGATGTGGTAGTAGAAGTTGGGTTTCAAATGATCCATTCTGTTCATTGTGTGTTGTTTGGTGGTTGGGCTACAAAGCAGCCATAAGCCTATAGTAAAAACAAAAATTCCATATTCACGGAAATGGAAATTTCAGTTTCCACGTCTGTTTCACTGAAAAACACCGGTTTTTGTTTCCGTTTATGTAGAAAAAAAATCCATTTCCACTTTCATTTTGTAAATTCCCGTTCCCTTTTTCATATTTCCTCCCCTTTTTCATTTGTCTTCCAAAAAAAGCAGAAAGTTTTCACTGCATTTTCATTTTCATCCATGGGAGTGGCCGCTCACGACCTAGCTTGCCGCCGCGCAGTGGATCACCTAGCTGCAGAAGTGCCGGGTTTTTTTTTCGACCTGTTAATGTTAGATGGGCTGCAGTTGGGTTAGTGGAGTTGACATGGGCTTATGTTGTGCCGTGTTTTTTTTTCCAATTTGCAAACTTTTTTGAATTCGTGACATTTTTTGAAACTTGTGAACATTTTTTTAATTCATGAACAATTTTTTTAATTCATGACGGGAAAACTTCTCAAATTCATGAACACTTATTGATTTCGCCAATTTTTTAAAATTAGCAGTAAAAGCCAGCCGGTTTCTTCCTTGAGATAACATACCGACAACAGAAGAAAAAACGAGCAAGCACAAGCGGGCGAACAGGCGGCCCATGGGGCGCACCCTTATGCACTATACGGTCCAGCACGTCGCCGCTCAAGGCGTTGTATATGAGGTCCCCGCCCTACTGCAGAAGAGGGCAGTGTAGTGTTGAGCAGATGTGCTCGTCTTGTGACGGTGGTCTTCCCCATCAACATGGGGTAGTGTGGGAGGTGGCCGCTCCACCTTGCATCAGTCGCTTGCCTATCTCGATCAGCAGCGACTACTGAAGCTACATCGACTCCACCGAGCGGCGGTTTGCATGCTCATAACTCCAAATTAGTTCCGATCGACTTCTTTGTAATAAACATTGCAATTTAATCATCCAACGTTCAAGTTATTCTGCTACTGCTAGGATGTATAGTAACTCAAAATTATATGCGTTGATTTAATGTTTTTGCCCTTACTTTTGTAAATGAAAGTTCACAAAACCACCAACACTTAGATCTGTAAAATTACTTCACGAACCTCAAATTTATGCGCCTAAATCATTTGTTGGCAAGATATGCTAATTTTGGATTTCAAATTCCAATGGTTCTGTTATGACTCATACACATCGTGACAGTATTAAATTTTCCTTCATGGCATTCATGCTTCCTTGGTTTCTTTACACATCGATGGTTTATGTGGCTATCAGGTTGTGCTTTTTTTTTTCTTCTCTTACGGCAACTGCCATTTTGGAACAACAGTATGTATGTGACCGGTTCAACTAGAGCGGTTTCCATGGTTGAACAAAAGCACAACCTGATAGCCACATAAACCATCGACGACAGCTACATATAGCGAAAAAGGTCCAGAAAATGCAGATATAGTGTAGCATAAACATGGCAGCAAACAGCTGCCATATATAAATAAATAAAATCTAGAATGTGCGCATAATCAGTATGGCAGCAAATAGCTGCCATATATCACAAATTAAGTAGAGATGCGGTTGTTCGTGGCCACTTTGTCTGCAAGATATTGCAAGAGAGTAGATCAAATGTTGTCGAATTATTATTAGAATTATTCTGGTCATTTTCCACTCCGGGTATTTGTGTGGAATTATAAATTGTGATGCGTGGAAAGAGACGGGGGCGTACCAACCATGCCAGATGGGTGGTGAGTCGTCGGTCGGGTGTTGTCGATAAGGCGGCATAAAAGTGAAAGGGCCACTGTACCAGATTAAGGCTTTTCTTCTTTCTGCACCTCCAGAGTGCATCACGCATGGCAGCTCCGGCGCCGCCAAGGACCGTCCTGCGGGTGGCGGCGATCTCCGGCTCGCTGCGCAGGGCGTCGGCCAACACCGGCCTCATCCGCGCCGGTAAGTCCCTTGCACTCAAGGTCCCCTTCCTGTTTACAGTCTATCAGTTCGTGTGGCTGACGACCTGGGTGTGAAGCCAGCTGCGGAGATCTGCAGGGAGTCCATCCCGGGCCTGCACATCGACCACGTCGACATCTCGGAGCTGCCGCTTCTCAACACCGACCTCGAGGTCAACGGCCGATTCCCGCCGGCCGTCGAGGCGTTCCGCGACAAGGTCAGCTCGGCCGATTGCTTCCTCTTCGCCTCGCCCGAGTACAACTACTCCATTTCAGGTGCCCGGTTCACCTCTCACTCTGCCAGAAATTTTCCTTCCTTCTGTAACAACTGCGTGTGCTTTCTGCGGTTCTCCTCCCTCCGTACCAGGCCCTTTGAAGAACGCGCTGGACTGGGGATCGCGGCCGCCCAACTGCTGGGCCGACAGAGCCGCGGCGATGCTGAGCGCGTCGGGCGGCACCGGCGGCAGCCGGTCGCAGTACCACATCCGGCAGGTCGGGGTGTTTCTTGACATCCACTTCATCAACAAGCCGGAGGTCTTCACCAAGGCACACCTGCCCCCGAGAAAGTTCGACGCCGACGGAGACCTGATCGACTCGGAGACCAAGGAGCAGGTCAGGAGGATGCTCCTGTCGCTGCAAGCATTCGCCCTCAGGCTCCAGGGCAAGTCTGAACAGGGGAACTGATGCCTCCATTTGTGTCTTCAAACGAGTGGTAGTGCTCTGCTCATTAGATTGTCTGAGCAGATCGTCACAAACTCCAAAAGCCAAATCCATATGCTCCTTGATGCTCCATGATATCTGGAATGATTCTTCATCTGCGACTGAACGTTTCGGTGGCACACTAATGCAAATCTATGTTTATTATCTTGCCCCTTGGTAATTTTGTTATATGGGCAGCCTTACTATCTGTAACATGCCGGCGTCATTTGCTTAGCTAGGTAGATTCTGTAAGGCACCCAAGCTTCTGCCTGTTCTTTCTTCTATCCAGACAAGTCTCCTCTCA